ACTAACCAAAGTTTCAATAGTTCTGTTTCTGAATGCTTCTCTAACACAATGATTTGTATTATTTTCTATTGCAATGACATGCCTATCACTACTTTTAATCATCAGGGGCCATGTTGGTAATCTGTGATGTGAATGAATATCGCAAGCTAGTCAAGGAACAGATTAGAATCTCTCTGGTGACCCAGCTGTTTGAACACCTTCATGCTCTGTGTAATCTGTTGGTGGTAGTGCCAGAGAACATCAAAGTTGTCTGCAGTGGGGAACAGCTGGTAGGTCTCATTTATAGAACAAAGTTGTCTGTTTGTGGGGAACAGCTTGTATGTTCTAATACTATATGGCAGATAGTTAGGACATTCTATAGATTGTTCTTAAAATGCATTGGATTTATCTTCCACTGCATTCTGTCAGTGAACCAACTATCAAAGTGAATGTCATGACGTTGCTAAGTGGTTTTAAAACTATGTTTTAGTGATTCTAGACCAAAGTCTTGTGATGCACACACACTGCATGCTGCAAGTCTGATTGAATAGAATCAATAAACATACTTGCAATTTAGAATATTAAATAATTTAATTGCACAAACTTAATTAATATAATAAACAGTATAAGGACAAACCATGAATAAATGGAATGAATAAATCCACTCTGACAATGTTGAAATCAGATCCAAATGTACAACTGACTCCATACCCTTTTGTTTTCCCGTATAATAACCCCTAATCTAGGTTTAGATCTAGAAAATGTTTGAAAAATATAGCATTGGAAGTAAAGTTAAACTTTTTTTCTAATTAATACTCCTAATCTAGTGTAACTGGAACTAGCAAGATACTGTATCAGATGGTTGGAATATTGTCTTGCTCAAATAATGTCATTTGTCCAGTAATGAGAGATTGATCTGAACAAACTCTATTCTGTCTTTGAATTAAAATTAATTATTCAAGTGATGACCTAGATCAATGTTTCCCAAAGTTGGGTGCGAATGCCCCCAGAGGTACAAGAAGAGTTTAAAGGGGGTGCACGTTGTATTAACTATGCTGATTTTATTTCAATACCAATTTATTCTGTAACTAATCTTCTCATTGTTCTACTCTAGTGCTACACTATAACTAATCTTCTCTTTGTTCTACTCTAGTGCTACACTATAACTAATCTTCTCATTGTTCTACTCTAGTGCTACACTATAACTAATCTTCTCATTGTTCTACTCTAGTGCTACACTATAACTAATCTTCTCATTGTTCTACTCTAGTGCTACACTATAACTAATCTTCTCATTGTTCTACTCTAGTGCTACACTATAACTAATCTTCTCATTGTTCTACTCTAGTGCTACACATAACTAATCTTCTCATTGTTCTACTCTAGTGCTACACTATAACTAATCTTCTCATTGTTCTACTCTAGTGCTACACTATAACTAATCTTCTCTTTGTTCTACTCTAGTGCTACACTATAACTAATCTTCTCATTGTTCTACTCTAGTGCTACACTATAACTAATCTTCTCATTGTTCTACTCTAGTGCTACACATAACTAATCTTCTCTTTGTTCTACTCTAGTGCTACACTATAACTAATCTTCTCATTGTTCTACTCTAGTGCTACACTGTAACTAATCTTCTCTTTGTTCTACTCTAGTGCTACACTATAACTAATCTTCTCATTGTTCTACTCTAGTGCTACACTATAACTAATCTTCTCATTGTTCTACTCTAGTGCTACACTATAACTAATCTTCTCATTGTTCTACTCTAGTGCTACACTATAACTAATCTTCTCATTGTTCTACTCTAGTGCTACACTATAACTAATCTTCTCTTTGTTCTACTCTAGTGCTACACTATAACTAATCTTCTCTTTGTTCTACTCTAGTGCTACACTATAACTAATCTTCTCATTGTTCTACTCTAGTGCTACACTATAACTAATCTTCTCATTGTTCTACTCTAGTGCTACACTATAACTAATCTTCTCATTGTTCTACTCTAGTGCTACACTATAACTAATCTTCTCATTGTTCTACTCTAGTGCTACACATAACTAATCTTCTCATTGTTCTACTCTAGTGCTACACATAACTAATCTTCTCATTGTTCTACTCTAGTGCTACACTATAACTAATCTTCTCATTGTTCTACTCTAGTGCTACACATAACTAATCTTCTCTTTGTTCTACTCTAGTGCTACACTATAACTAATCTTCTCATTGTTCTACTCTAGTGCTACACTATAACTAATCTTCTCATTGTTCTACTCTAGTGCTACACATATCTAATCTTCTCATTGTTCTACTCTAGTGCTACACATAACTAATCTTCTCTTTGTTCTACTCTAGTGCTACACATAACTAATCTTCTCTTTGTTCTACTCTAGTGCTACACTATAACTAATCTTCTCATTGTTCTACTCTAGTGCTACACTATAACTAATCTTCTCATTGTTCTACTCTAGTGCTACACATAACTAATCTTCTCTTTGTTCTACTCTAGTGCTACACTATAACTAATCTTCTCTTTGTTCTACTCTAGTGCTACACTATAACTAATCTTCTCATTGTTCTACTCTAGTGCTACACTGTAACTAATCTTCTCTTTGTTCTACTCTAGTGCTACACTATAACTGATCTTCTCTTTGTTCTACTCTAGTGCTACACTATAACTGATCTTCTCTTTGTTCTACTCTAGTGCTACACTATAACTAATCTTCTCATTGTTCTACTCTAGTGCTACACTATAACTAATCTTCTCATTGTTCTACTCTAGTGCTACACTATAACTAATCTTCTCATTGTTCTACTCTAGTGCTACACTATAACTAATCTTCTCATTGTTCTACTCTAGTGCTACACTATAACTAATCTTCTCATTGTTCTACTCTAGTGCTACACATAACTAATCTTCTCTTTGTTCTACTCTAGTGCTACACTATAACTAATCTTCTCATTGTTCTACTCTAGTGCTACACTATAACTAATCTTCTCATTGTTCTACTCTAGTGCTACACTGTAACTAATCTTCTCTTTGTTCTACTCTAGTGCTACACTGTAACTAATCTTCTCTTTGTTCTACTCTAGTGCTACACTATAACTAATCTTCTCATTGTTCTACTCTAGTGCTACACTGTAACTAATCTTCTCTTTGTTCTACTCTAGTGCTACACTATAACTGATCTTCTCTTTGTTCTACTCTAGTGCTACACTATAACTAATCTTCTCATTGTTCTACTCTAGTGCTACACTATAACTGATCTTCTCTTTGTTCTACTCTAGTGCTACACTATAACTAATCTTCTCATTGTTCTACTCTAGTGCTACACTGTAACTAATCTTCTCTTTGTTCTACTCTAGTGCTACACTGTAACTAATCTTCTCTTTGTTCTACTCTAGTGCTACACTATAACTGATCTTCTCTTTGTTCTACTCTAGTGCTACACTATAACTAATCTTCTCATTGTTCTACTCTAGTGCTACACTATAACTAATCTTCTCATTGTTCTACTCTAGTGCTACACTATAACTAATCTTCTCTTTGTTCTACTCTAGTGCTACACTATAACTAATCTTCTCTTTGTTCTACTCTAGTGCTACACTATAACTAATCTTCTCTTTGTTCTACTCTAGTGCTACACTATAACTAATCTTCTCTTTGTTCTACTCTAGTGCTACACTATAACTAATCTTCTCATTGTTCTACTCTAGTGCTACACTATAACTAATCTTCTCTTTGTTCTACTCTAGTGCTACACTATAACTAATCTTCTCATTGTTCTACTCTAGTGCTACACTGTAACTAATCTTCTCATTGTTCTACTCTAGTGCTACACTGTAACTAATCTTCTCATTGTTCTACTCTAGTGCTACACTATAACTAATCTTCTCATTGTTCTACTCTAGTGCTACACTATAACTAATCTTCTCATTGTTCTACTCTAGTGCTACACTATAACTAATGTTCTCATTGTTCTACTCTAGTGCTACACTATAACTAATCTTCTCTTTGTTCTACTCTAGTGCTACACTATAACTAATCTTCTCATTGTTCTACTCTAGTGCTACACTATAACTAATCTTCTCATTGTTCTACTCTAGTGCTACACTATAACTAATCTTCTCATTGTTGTACTCTAGTGCTACACTATAACTAATCTTCTCATTGTTCTACTCTAGTGCTACACTATAACTAATCTTCTCATTGTTCTACTCTAGTGCTACACATAACTAATCTTCTCATTGTTCTACTCTAGTGCTACACATAACTAATCTTCTCATTGTTCTACTCTAGTGCTACACTATAACTAATCTTCTCATTGTTCTACTCTAGTGCTACACTATAACTAATCTTCTCATTGTTCTACTCTAGTGCTACACTATAACTAATCTTCTCATTGTTCTACTCTAGTGCTACACTATAACTAATCTTCTCATTGTTCTACTCTAGTGCTACACATAACTAATCTTCTCATTGTTCTACTCTAGTGCTACACATAACTAATCTTCTCTTTGTTCTACTCTAGTGCTACACATAACTAATCTTCTCTTTGTTCTACTCTAGTGCTACACTATAACTAATCTTCTCATTGTTCTACTCTAGTGCTACACTATAACTAATCTTCTCATTGTTCTACTCTAGTGCTACACATATCTAATCTTCTCATTGTTCTACTCTAGTGCTACACTATAACTGATCTTCTCTTTGTTCTACTCTAGTGCTACACTGTAATTAATCTTCTAGTGCTACTCTGTAATCTGTTTCAGGCTGACCTTGATGACTCCATCCTCCAAAGTTTTGTTCAATTGAGAGCAGACTATCGCACAGCTAAAATATCAACCAAGTTAAAGTAAAGATGGACAGCTGAAGCAAGACCATTCGTTATAGAAGGCCTGAACACTGACCTGCGACATCACAACCTGTGGGCAGTAAAGACCAATAGCTTGTTGCTAAGTCCTGTAGACCTGTGACATGGCTAAGAGCTATTGGTCTAAACTGCCCACAGGTTGTGACATTGCAGGTCAGTGTTCAGGCCTTCTATGACGATTGTCTTGAATCTTTGTATGTCATAGTTTGTGCACTTTTTAATTCTCTTTTCAATTTGATTTACACGTTTACCATGGGTACATCTGTACTCTGTGTATTTGTGAGACCATGGGTACATATGTATTATGTGTATTTGTGCGTGTGTGCTTATGTCAATGTATATACTCAGTTTCATCATGAAATTTTAACCAGGTTCTATAACTCTTGTAAGTCCATTGAAAAGAAAAATATGATTTGTTCCCTGTATGTTTCATTCCATCTTTTTTGTGTGAACAAATTTTTTATTATTTTTTTTATTCTTATTTCCCTGTCTTTATTTTATTTGTTCTAATTCTGTTATGAGCACTCCCATGTCTGTCTTATGAAGTGAAAATTGTTTTAACTGAACATTTTTGACACAGTTGTGTCCCCTGATACACTTCATGATATTATCTAGAAAATCAAATTGCAATATTTCTTTCTTTACTTTAATACTGTCATTATCAGAACTAGTTATTTTTATTTTTACTTATTCAAATAGTTAAAATAATTTTTCTCTATTGTGTTTAACATTTGGCTAAAGAGAGAAATAAATGTTTCCAGTTTTTTCACTTTTCTTTGCCAGAAAAATAGAAACATTTTGATTTGCTATTTTGATGTCAGTTTGAATAAATGTTTTTGTTGTTATTCTAGTGAACATGTTCATTCCAAAGTCCTGTTTTGTTTTAGTGCAATAATGTTTTCAGCCCATTGTACTTATTTTTATATTGAATGTACAAAGTAGAACTTATCCATTGAATCATTGAGAAATAAATTCTAGTGTTCTTGTAAGGTGTCAATAAAAAATTTTTTTTATTCCATTTGAATTTCATTAATAAAAATATAATAAATGTTACAAATTTTTTTGTTATTTAATTTTGTTGTGACATTTGTTTATGATCGCCCCCCCCCCTTTTTTTTTTCAAAGGAAAGATAATTAAAGAATCTATTTTTTTGATAGAAATATTTTTTTTTTTTAAATAATGGAAATTGTTATATCACTAAACAAACATTCTAATATTATTTTGTTCTGTAGCATTTAGGACCTTTATTAATGGGAGGCAAATCTTCTGAGTCCCATTCAACTTCCACTTGCTCAAATAGCTCTAGAACATACTAAACTAGTTGATTTAGTTTTGGGTAATGCCCTCACACGTTATCCCCCCCCCCCCCCCCCCCCGCCCTATAGTGTCTGATCAAGGGGAGATCAACCAATGTTTGTCTTTGATATACTCCAGGAAGCAACAATAGGTGCCAGCAGTTCCATCCTTACATCCTGAGTGAAACAATACATTTTAAAAAGTTGATTATTTTAATTGCATGACATAGAGTCACTCTCTTGAATTCGTTAAAGGGGTAACAAATTATTGCAATTATCTAATAGTAGCGACTGATCATTTAATTTCTAATAACGTGGCAGTACTGCAGCACTAGCACCCTCTGGCGGAACAAGAATTATGCATTATTCAGATGTCTGTGGGATCTGTTGTTCACATCCATCTATAACTGGTCATATAATTATTAGAATATAACTGTCAATCTCTCCATAAGTGTAGCCATTTTCAAAGCGAATTCATCGCCACTGCACATTTTTTTAAGACCAAGCAAGACTAACAATTTGAGTAAACGATTTCATCACGCACCAGTAGTGCACTAAGTTGTACCATCGCCAGTGGTAGACCCACAAGAAATGTAGACCTAAATGTAGCTCTAGATTTCCATTATGTAAGCCTGTACAGCTATTTATCTATTCTTCATAAGTGTTGATTTGTTTACCATCCCTCCCACCCTGTTAACGTAGATCTAACTCCGCCTCTCTTTATCCTCCCGCAGTTTATGTTCTACTTTTCTTTTTGACCACAAGCAACGCTCGCCATGTCTCTCACCCCGCCCCCCCCCTAAGATGTAACTTCATTCAATAATTATTGCTTGTAAACACGTAACACACGCACACACACATGTTCATGGTTTGTTCCTAAGTTTTATGGGCTATTCCATTGTATGGACTCTTTCAAGTTCCATTAAAGTTTGAACGATCAAGAAAAGGATGTTGAAACAGTCTCAGGATAAGAGTGGGTCATACATAATTGTCGTGTTATTACAGAAGATTCTTATCGAACATAATGAATGAAGATCTCCTGAATGAAAATAAAAAGTTGTTTTTTTTTAATAGATCCGTTGTTTGCACATGTTTCAGATCAATTTTTACATAGGCTAGAGCGTTTCTGCCTTATTTCCCCATTCAATTATTCGGACAAATCTATTTGTTTTGTTTCTAGTTGTTGTGTTTCTAGTTGTTGTGTTTCTAGTTGTTGTGTTGTCGATACACAAAAAAAAAAAAAAAAAGAAAGTAAATTTTTCATTTAATTTTTCTTGATTATTCATTCACATCTTTTTTTATTATTTTTTTTTGAAGATTTGATATAGCTCAGCTCAAGACATAAATTGATTATTGATTGGTATGTTCTAGAAGATTTCAAATGTCGAAGTATAAATCCACATTATATCACATATTTATTCTCAGATACTATCAAGAATATTATACTGCTTTTAGATCTATGATAGAGAGTTATAACTGGTATGTAGGGCTAATATTGCTTTTAGATTTACGTTAGGTTATTATAAAATGGGCTTTAATATTGCATTTAGATCTTTGGTATAGTGTATTTCAATCCACCTTATTGGAACTTTTACTAAGTGTAAATGTAGGCCTAAATCAACTAGGATTGGTCAATAAGGTTTTGAATAGCTGCACATTTTTTTTTACTAGCTTACTTGTGCGAGCTGTAGTGCAAAAGTTGACGATGGCTCTCAATATCCATTAAATTGAACAGTTTCAGGCACTGCTTTCATTTTTAGTGAATGGATAAGTAGAATGAATTTTCCTAATGTGTGAAGGACCAAAATTCACGGATGAGTGTTGGCCAATCTAGTAAAAGTAGACGCTTATCAAAACATTTATATTTAGTAGCAGACACGATTGATCTTTTAAGACAGGCCTAGTAATAGTTTGTCTCTATAACCTTTCAGTATAGCAGCACTAAGATGAATACTTTATAGACCACACCCTGAAAGTGAGACACTCATTAAGCACGGCATGCACTGATCAAAGCTATGGCGCATGCTTAAACAGGCATCTACTGTCTGCCATTATTCCCTTCTCCAGAGTTACTTCCAGTTTATTCCGTCTCTCCATTCTTCCCTCTAGCTCTGTGATAAACGTATACCTCGACTTTCTTTCAATTCTCTTTATTCTGAGACCTGGTATTGATAAGCATAAGTCGTGAACTTACCTCTGTCCACGTCCCTGAAATAGTGTTTCTACACAAAACTAGGCTCTCAAAGTCACGTGGTACACATATCATGTGATCAAAGAGTTTATTGGTTGCTTGTACAAAACGTAAAGAAAATAACAAACTGACATCGCAAAAGAAAGAAATTAAAAAAACAAGATTCCAGTGAAAAGTGACCAACAAATTACTTTGTACACTGTCAAATCATTAAAACAAATGTTATTGCAAGCCATCAGATACACTCAGTACTTCAGAAATTTAAGAAAGAGAAAAAATAAGACATCAATAAACATACTTTTATAGAGGAACACAATTTGAAAAAGTCGCTTTTATTGTCATAAGACTAAAAAAAGTTTTCTCTACCAGCGCTTCTGTGTATCCTTGACATTGTCATTAAGCACTGTACGTCTGCTGACCTATGAACCTGGGGTTTGAATTTGATAGAGTTCTCAGTAAGAGGTGGAGAAGATATAGGGTATAAATCTATCACTTTAGAAATGTTCTCAACTAGAAGATGGCAAGTATGAAATAGAAAATTTAAAAAAAATTCGTTTGGCATGCTATTTATAGAATACATATTTTTTAATCCGTGAACGACCACAAACTGACCCAATGCCCTACACGGACACACTGCGTGAAGTCGGGAAATGATGATGGTCTGTTGTAGCCTTGGAGTGGTCCCTAGATAGAACACAGATACTATAATACAAATAGAGAACAAGATTCTGGCTCCATGTGGACGTAATACATTCAGATGATTAGAAATGCAACAAGAGAGAAACTTCTGAGACCCTGAGAACAATTTATGTCTAGTTGTTGACCACAGAAGTATTTCCTGTTTCATCAGTTTTCTATTTTAAAAAAAAAAAATTCTCTAGAAAATTTGTTTTCACTTCCTCATTCTCATTCAATTTATTTTGTGCCATTTCTAGATCTGATAAAACACGTTTTATTAATACATTGAAAAAACAAACAATCTGAAAATTATCTTGTATACAAATATATGGTCAGATTCGTGTTCACTATTGGTAAGCTTCAAGCCTGTAGAAGCAGAACCTTAACAGACGTCCAACATAGTGATGGGACAATAAACATTTGTTTCATTTACATTGAACTGAGCTGGCTTCGGACTTGAAGACAGAATTCGAATAAAGACAAAATGAAATGGCGTATTGAAAACATTTTGAAATTTTAAAAAGTTGGCTCGTAGTGCCGTAATAGTGAGGATTGTTTATTCTAGCGCCTCATTCCGTTAAGTGTTCATGTGATGGCCACTAGGCATTGCACTTCACCAAGAAATATTTACACTGGACCACAGTTGAACCAACACAGTTGTACCCTGGACCACAGTTGAACCAACACAGTTGTACCCTGGACCACAGTTGAACCAACACAGTTGTACCCTGGATCACAGTTGAACCAACACAGTTGTACCCTGATAGAAATGTACTTCTAATAATCACTCAATGTTAAGGAATTTTGAAGCAAATATTTGAAATGAAGAAGGCTCGTATCCACTAGAGTCATTTGACTTGTTTGTACATAGATACAACTTTCAAAACATGTCACACTGCCAGCAAGATTTCTTTAAAAAAAAAAAAAAAGAACTCAAAACACACAATAGTACATCAAAGAATAGAACATTACTATTAGTTGAATACATACATTATTACATTAAAAGATATCAAACACAAAAAAAGATTATCTCAAAGGAAGGCAACAACTGAATGAAACAGTAGAAATACAATGTCATACAAGTGTCAGAGCTCCAAGTAGTCACAAAACTTGTTACTTTAATTCTGAGTCTGCATGGCAACATGAAATAACTGCACACCATAGGGCATTTTTTAAATAATGCTTTATACACAAAATAAGAATTCATGTAAATCATCATGTCATTGGAAACCAAAGAAACTTCTATATCAGAATATTTTTGTCACACAAAAAGTCATAGAGGACATGTTACTTCCCTTGCCTGACAAAGAACACACACACACACTTTTCGTTTAACTCACATTCCTGATATTTTGATGACACTTTTATTCCCGACAATTTGTACAAAGCTTCAACTCACTTCGCCTGTCTGTCTGGTCACATTTGTGTTCACACTATTTCTCCCACTTCACATTGTCGATCAAGTTGAAACTGCACAATTATCAATCAATCAGAGAATTAACAACTTAATTAATTAGTGGTAATTAATTTTCCTTGATATAATGAGGAAAAAAATATTACAATATTAACATATAGGCTGTAAAAAAAAAAGTCAAGCAAAACCAGCTGATTTGAAAAAAACAATTTAGTAGAGAGTGAGTAGTGAGTGAGTAGTGAGTGAGTAGAGAGTGAGTAGTGAGTGAGTAGAGAGTGAGTAGTGAGTGAGTAGTGAGTGAGTAGAGAGTGAGTAGTGAGTGAGTAGTGAGTGAGTAGTGAGAAGCCCACTGAAATTACTTTGAAATTGTCTTGGCTTATTTCATTACAACAAAATATGTACAAAATAAATTAAACTTCTGTTATGCGCAAACATTACTTTAAGATAAGTTCTGATTCACTAGGTTCCATAACTTGAC